ACACATTTTTCATTAAAATAATATTCTACGCAAATTTAATATTTTTTGTTATTTTTTAATCATACATTCTCTGTCATTTATTATTTAAAAATGTATTCTTACAATAAAATATGAATCAAAAATGCTCTTAGGCCCTGTTTGATAGGGCATTATTTTCCATGAAAAATGGAAAACAAATTCCAACTTTCACTTTTGCCTTATTTGATACACTTTATTTTCCATGGAAAAAATTTTCCACATTTAGCTCACCAATTCCCACCATTTTCTATCTTTTTTTTTAAGCAATTGAAATTTTTTTTAGATACAATATTAAAAAAATTTATCATTTTTATTGACAATTTTCATACAAAATAAAGACAAACGAATGGTATTCGGTATGGAAATTTTTAAAAAAAAAAAAATTTAATTTTTTTTGGCAAGTGAAACAAATTTTAGACCCAATGGTAAAGGAAATTATCACTTTAATGGACAATTTTCATGAAAAAGAATGTCAAACGGACACCAAACTTTCAACATTTTTAGATGGAAAATTATATCATTCAAACACAGTTAATTACAATTCTCAGTAAAACAATTTTTAGACAATTCAATTTCCTAGAATTCATTTTCTTTCCACCTATTTTTCACATTTGCAATCAAACGGACCATTACTGACATTTGAATGTGAAACTACACCCTGAAGTTGGATTCACTATGGGGAAGTTGTACACAGTATACAAGTATAAAAAAAAATAAGGGCTTGTTTGGTGATTTTTTTTTCGACAAACTATCATGAGATGTATAATTTTATCTTTATTTTTTACCTTTTACTGCATATTTATTCTTTTATAAAAGCAAAATCAATTTTCATCTAAGGTCGTGTTTGAGAGCCATTAATTTCTTGTAATGTATTATAAAATAATTGATTGATGGAGAACGTGTGTTTAAGATATAAGGAAATTTTATTGATTTGTGTGTAGAATATTTTATTGTGTATATACGTGGTGGAGAATACTACTGTGTGTGTGTTTGGTAGAGATTTTTTGGGGGAAGAATTAATTTTGAATAGTGATATGATGGGAAATGTGTGGTTGAAAAAGAAGATAAAATTATTGATGTGATGGAAAATATTATTTTATTGAAGAATGTGTGGTTGAAAATGAGAATTGATTTACTGTAGAAATGAAGAATCCGTACCAAACGGGGCGTAAATAGTTTTG